ATGATGACCCGTAACTGGTTAAGCATCCGAGGGCTTCCTCATGAATGTGATAATTACCTGTTCTTAACCTGTCGAGGAAACTTCAGACATTTCGATCCTTCCTCGATCATCAAGACGCAAAAAACTATCTAAAATTCCTCTCCAAATTGTGGGTTAGTTTTAAATTGTTGCAGCTATGGTGTTTTTGCAGCTACAGTATTGTTGAAGCTACGGTATTATTCCAGCCACGATAGCGCAACTTTTATTCCTCCATTTGATGGTTCCGCAGATCATAGGCAACTTTCCCCTCCTCCCCATCCCGTCTCATTAAAGATAACCCAGAGAAATTTTTCTTCTCCAGGTATGGAGTACAACACACAACTTTGTGATATGTTGTATTTGGTAATGACTAGGAGGAAATGTATCTGATCAATTTATTTTGTATGCAACTTATCCACATTTTGCTACCTAAATTTTTGGACGTGGTACTCATTGTCAAGTTTTTAATGCTTTCAGTGTTTTAAACCCCATTTTCTTTATTTTAGGTTAGGTTTGATTACATAAGGTTAGGTTAAGTTGGGTAGATTTGGTTACGGAAACGTATACAAATTTAACACCAAACAAGGAAGTTAAATAAACCGCGATTAATCTAACAAAGATGTAGCAGAGAAAAAACAAGCAGTGTACAAATATGAACGTTGGTCACTCGTGAGGCGAGGATGAGCACCAAACAGCAGTCTCCAGAGACTCGAACGATATGTACACCAAGAAATGTATGCTTCTCAGTGTATGTACAGAGAGCCTACTTTACTCAGTATTTTAGAAATTAAAACATTCTTGATTGGTAGTGAATAGGCTCCATGCAGCCTTACTGATCCTCGTTTAGTAGTAGCCTTCGAATACAATTAAAAGAAAAAGAGAAGGCCAGAGCTTGCTACCGCCTGCAGCTCATGAGACTGCCATTCCCACGAGCCCCCCTGGGGTGGGGAAGGTGGCAGACCAGAGGCCTAGTTTCTCCCTACGAGCCCTGTAAGGGCGGGGAATGGGGCTAGGCCTGGGGACAGCTGGCCTCAGAAGATGAGGAGGTACTTGTATCTCCTCCTATGGCAGACATAGGTCTCAGGCACTCCCAAGACAGAGAGCCAGGGTCGGGTCACCATCTGGAAAAGACCCAGGCCGGGAGGGTACCGGCGAATCAAGAATACCATTAACCAACCAGCAGACCAGAGACACAGACTGGAGCAGCAGCGTTCCTATCTACAAGCTACTCAGACACCCACCTGGCAATCATCTCAGGAGTGGAGGTAATACCAGACACCTTGCAAGCATTAGATTTCTAAGTCTAATATCTGATGGGACCTCGTCTGTCAAGGAAACATCAGGACCACTCCTATGAAGATGACATCAAGCTGGACCTTACCTGTTATGACCTCCCTTCCCAAGGTGTTTCCTGTACAAGTGTCAGGTGTTGGTATGTTCGTGTTGAGTACCATATAGGGCCAACAACATCTTACCTCATCACAGGAACTCCCACGCAGTGTGACCTGTCCAAGACCATGGTGAACCTGCAATCATCACTCATGATGAGCAAGACATATGAGCAATACTTAGGTAAGTTTATCGTCGAAATGTTTCGCTTGTCCAGCAGACTTCTTCAGTCAAATATAGCCAATTGTAACACTGAAGCTGTCAGAAGTGGGAAGGTAAAATTGAGATGATTAATCCCTCGGCCTTGAGGGTAGTCAGTTCCTTAGCCTAAAGCAGAGGTATGAGGCCAGAGATATATACTAGAGCTAGATGTGAAATGTAGCAGCTTAGTGGTAATGCACAGGCGAGTACACTTATTAAGTCCAAGATCAACTTACCTGGAAAAGTTGAGCTGTTGGCGGTTTATTTGTCAGCAAACAGGGCAAGCGTCTCCTGTCATGTTGTTTCCTTAGATAATCCGTTACTGGTTCAAGTATATGGTGACCTACCGGAGGTGCGTTTTACACCGCATAAAAAAAAGAGGATCACTAACTCACAGAACGGGTAAGGTTGAAACCCACGAGCAAGCCGGTCCTAAAAGTGGCAGGCCTGAGCACCGGTATGCCAGTTTTAGGATTGGCTTATCATGGGTTCAAATCTCACTCGTTCTGTGAGTTGTTAAAATCATGTTATTATGATTTCGTGAGTCAATTCTATGCCTAGTAGTATACTAAGATGTCAGCTAGTCAGTTTGTGTGGAGAATATTTTTTGGTCTAATTATGGATGAAATTGCGAAATATTATTGTAGACAGTATTGGCCAGCTAGGCAGTAATTGACTCTAAATACACGTCACTAAATAACGCATTACAAAAGAAATTAAGTACAAAGAAAAGTGGAGGAATATCATCCGAGGAAAGGACACACCCTCGTTTTAACAGAATTTTATATACTGCATTATGTCATAAATGTTGCATAAACTTTAATGTTGAAAATAAAGCTGAATTCATATGATAAAATAAGTGATGAAATTGAGAAATAATTATTGAAGAAAACCAAGGAGGTGGATGTTGGTAGAGAGTTGTGTGCTTAAACAAAACAAGGTAGAAGCGACCATTGTGTTCATCTTGGTGTGATACATTAGATTTTTCATCCCCAGAAATCTTAGAAATTGTGCATCATCGCATGTGATGCGCTGTACATGTTATGTTAATGAGATCCAGTAACCCGGTTACAGTACGCAGAAGCAGACTTCAGCAATGGATCAGCAGATAACACCGAGAGAGGAGGATAAACCAGTAACCCTGTTACCACACAATCAGGAAACATGGTATGCCATCTCGTCACGATAAGGTGTCTTTTGTTTTAGTGGGTTACGAGGCTCTGTGACATCAGAGTGCAGTTAAATTTATGAGATATTTAAATTTATTGACCTCTCTGCCCACGTGAATCCGAAATATTATCATATAAACCTCGTACAGTCCACCAGGTTCTTACGTTCCTCATCCCTCGAGGGACGTTCCCTGGCGCTGGTGAGGGGCTCTTGATCTAGGGATTTAGATCTGTGCTCCAGTTCTCTGAATTGAGCCTGAATACCTTCCATCCCCCCCTAGGCACTGTATAATCCCTACGAGTTTAGAGTTCCCCATAATACTAATAATAATAATAATAATCTTACATTCCTCAGGCTCTATGTGACTGAGTTTAGCACTTCCTCCAGATTAAAATGAATGCTAATTATTATTATAATAAAAAAGAAGCGCTAAGCCACAAGGGCTATACAGCGCTGAATGAATACTAAACTCAGATAAGTAATTGTTCAGTTAACCGAGCTTTCATTATTCTTTAATGTAATTATGTGTTTCCCCATATAATTAACTAGTTAGTAAGATGAAACAAGTTGATACTAGTGGACTCAGTAGAAGTTTGAAGTACGATACAGTATTTCCAAAATCTACTCTCTCCAAGAGGTGTATGAACACTATGAATTTAGCACTCCCCCTGATAATAATAATAATAATAATAATAATAATAATAATAATAATAATAATCCACCGGTATTGGATTAAAGGGGGGAGGGGAAGACGAGACGACCTGGACGCCCATACAAAAGGGAACCAATCTGGATGGAAAAATATTATGCTGATGGATCATTGATATTACACATACACAAACATACATACAAAATACAAACATACATGCATACCAATACGGTTTTAACAGCAGGAGCCCACACAAGTTGCCTGCCTGGGGTTCTCCAAGTTAGTTGCCTAGAACCCCCACAAGTTGCTTGCCCAGAGGGCCTCCACAAGATGCTTGCCCAGAGGGCCTCCACAAGATGCTCATCCTGGGCCATAGTAACTCTTAATCCTGTACTAATCTCGCCCTACCATCACCAAGTTCTCTCCGCATGTGGTCATCTTGTGAGCTGATGCGGAAACGTATTTGGTACAAGTAGAAATTTAAAAAAAAATCGTCAATAAGCCTTGGACGACGAGGAGCTGTATATTGAGAGCTTACTGTAATGCATAAAAAAATGAGTAAATTATATCCTAGTTCTCATGTAATGCCACTTTCTTCCCACAAACCCACCATATGCGGCTCTAAAGTCACATCGCATAGAGCCTTTGATACCTTTGACATGCCTTTGATTTGTTTCGAGTCTTGAGCTAGCTTCGTCTGTTGCCTGATCAACCAGGCTGTTGCTGTTGGCGGCCGGCTAGCCTACATATCCATCACAGCCTGGTTGATCTTCCTCCAGATGAAGATACTTGCCCAGTTTTCTCTTGAAGACTTCTACACTTGTCCCAGCAGCCTCTGGCTTTTTTTTTATTAAAAGGGACTTTAATATCTTGAAGCAAAGTATGGGTTATTTTAATAATGATACGGATTAAATTATGAAAATATAGTCCCAGGAAAAAGTATATTAAAGCAACCATCAGGTTGGGAACACTGCGAGGAAAATTATAACCTCGGCCGGGACAATGACAGGTTGGATGATGAGAATTTTAAACTCATTGTCACAGTGTTTGCTCTCTAATCTATATTATTATTATTATTATTCCTTTTATTATAATTACTATTAATATTGCTATTGTTATTGCTATTATTATTATTGCTATTGTTATTGCTATTATTATTATTGCTATTATTATTATTATTATTATTATTATTATTATTATTATTATTATTAATTGAAAGCTTACTACAGTAATAACTACACGGGCAGCAGCACACTGTAGTGGATTCAATGTAAAAAATTTATTCATTTAATCACAAAATTATATTAAGGCTTCACCCGAAGGAGAATGCATTTCTCTCAAGTGTTGCATGCCTAGTGCAGAGCGAACCATTATGTAGAACACCTTTCGCTCAACCCATCTCTAAGAGCCAAACGTAATCTAAATAAAGATCTTTGAACCACACAAAATCCCGCCGCTCAAATGTTTCACGCCTATTTATAACATTCCTTTTACGTAGAGAAGCACTTCGTCATAGTTGGAGTTTCCCTCCAGTCCTTGCAAGAGAAGTTTAGTGTACATACGTGTAGTGTGAGGCCGGAGATAAGTGGCAACCAGTCGGTACCTCGCGAGTCCGGGACCGACCACTCAGTTGATCTTGGCATGTGGAGGAGTTAGGACATGCTGCTCAACATGGCGGCCCCCATTCGATTAATAGTCTGTATGTTCTGCGTGTGCACGTTTAGCGTGGTATTCTCGTTTAACTTAGAACCCAGGATTCCCATTGTCAAGAAAGGCTCGGCTCACTCCCATTTTGGGTATACCGTGGCCCAGCATCAGAGCGTCGGACCAGGAGCTACTGTCCCTCTGTCTTGGTGAGTTGAATGCTCGTCCGGTTATATTTCCTTGTAATATATGTTTTGTTCCTGTTTATTTGAGGGAAGTCTTATGTGAAGTTGTGAGACCGGATTCTGTGCCAGAGGAGGTATGTTCTCTCCCGAGGATGCTGCTAAGATGTCTTTAAAAAATTTGCGCGCCGCAGATATAGCCCTGAATTAATTGATATTAAAATTTTATTATGATTAGATTATGATAAATACGGCAATTAACAGCGAAAGAGTTATTTAATAAGTTAAAGCTTAGTGAGTGTCGTGTTGAGGATCAAGATCAGTAGAATATCGTTCCCGGGAAGATCAGTGTAGTTGAACATCTTCACCGGGAAGGTCAGTAGTAGTTTGTCCTCAACTCGTTGGTTTTCAAAACCATTTATCACAGAAGTATTATAGTTGGGTGTCTTCACCGCGAAGATCACTGTAGTTGTCTTCACTGCGAAGATCAGAGTAGTTGAGTGTCTTCACCTGGAACATTGTGGTAATGTCTTGAATATTGAGAAGATCGGTATACCTGCGTCGTGTTGAGGATTAGGAAAATCAGTGTAATTGTGAGTTATATTGACTGGGAAGATCAGTGTATCTGAGTTGTGTCGGGAACCGGGAAGATCAGTAAAACTGTGAGTGACGTTTGAGGACCAGGAAGATCAGAGTTGATATTTAATTAAAGAACCACCTTAGGAGGCCCTCGTTTATTCAAATTTCAACTAGCACACAGGTAACCACTGGGAATGTGGCCTTGAAAATGCGTTTTAGCCCAGGAATGATTGTTCTTTTATTATGCTTTTGACGCAGACCATTTCCGTGCGGCCAGCAGTAACAGCCTGGTTGATCAGGTCCTGATCCACCGGGAGACCTGGTCGTGGACCGGGCCGCGGGGGCGTTGATCCCCGGAATACCCTCCAGGTAAACTCCAGGTACCCCCTACCATAGGATCGGCACCACTTAATTAACGGGTCGTCTTATGATTAAAAGCCTATATGTTATTCCCCAAAGAAGAAACAACACCTCAGTGCAGGAACAGGGTTTGACGCAACCCAGGGTCTCTGGCTCATCATATCACTTGTGTGCTGTACGTGATGAGCATGAAGCTACAAGGTGTGGTGAACCAGGTGTGTGTGTATATATGTGTGTGTTTGGATGGGTGGTGAGCGGAGGGCGGTAGCACAGTGAAAGTACCAATCTTAAGTTACCACACACTAGCCATGACCCATGCCCTCCCCCCCTCCCCCCGAGCCAAAGGAGGCACTGATCTAACCTCCACTCTCAGGGGTCAATTGTTTCGTGTGACCACTATCAAGCTAGGTGTCTCAAGAGGAAAGGTGTTTTCCATTTTTATTTCCGCCATATACCATCACAAGCCGACGTTTGCATGCGTGCGTATGTCTACAAATGTCGTGGGGTCCACGTTTAGAGCAGGATTGCAGCATTAATGTCAGTGAATGTATCGCAACACATTTATGAATGTTTTATAAGAGCAAATAAGGGGCCCAGAAGGCCAAGGAGTTGTTTCTAGTTATTTTTGTACTGGTGACCAGTGATTACCTTGTAGGAGCCTCGTTGATTGTGACTACTGGTGCCAGGGTTTTCCTTGTAACTCAAATGACTTCTGTAGCCGAGATTCAGCGATTGTGTAGTCAAGCTAAGCATAGATAAGCTTTCACACAGATGACAAACGCGACCTCGACTCAGCCTTACCCCCCCCCCATCCAAGGGGGGCGTTTGCACATCTGGTCTTGTCATCGGGCCACACGCTAGTACGCATGTAATTAAGTAGGTTTCTCCCTTTTATAAGACACAGCATGTGCATATCAAAGAACTCTTGTGACTGAGTTAGTGTGATGGTAATAAAATGCAGGTGTGGAGAGGGCCGTCTATAAAGGTTCCAGAGGGTGGAAGATGGTGGGCGAGGTGTGAGTGGGATGAGAGTCAAGGCTATACTAACGTTTAGTTAGTGTTGTGTTAGGTGTGTTGTATTTGTGTGTGTGCATTCTTGTGTGGGTATGCATTTTGTAAGTGTGCTGTGTGTACATGTGTGAAGGTGTGTTATGTGTATATGTATGTTTCATGTATATCAAAGGTAAAGGTAGGGGTGTGTTTTAAGTGTGTTGTATACGTACGTAAGTGTTGTGTATTGTGTTGCGCATGCTTCTGTGCCAGTGTGTTGTGTATGCCCGTGTGTGTTAGACATTGTATGTGTTTATGTACATGTTTCTCATGAGTGTTGTGTACGTGTTTTGCATGCGCGTGTTGTATGTGCGTGCATGTATTGCTTATACGCGTGACTCCGCATTGTCTCCTCTAGTTTGCTGGGGTCCGGGCACTAGTGGAGGGATGTGAAGTCATCTATTCTTAAGCTCTTTAACCTTTTTGTAGCAAGAGATTGAACGTTCACACAAGTATTGGGGTAGCGGCACTAACCGTTGTGATCCACATTAGGGCCAGACGATTACCTCTCATAACACAAGGTTTTGTATTGGGTGCTTCCTGCGTGTCGGCGCTACCCATGTAAAAATCATGCATGCATACACTGTGACAGGTATACAAATTTAAACGTTGTGTGGGTTTGCAGACACCGCACTGTCACATTTTTTTTATCTGACTGTGGATAAATATACATTTCTATAGTTTTATGTAACCTGCTCTAACCTTCTCTAACTTAACGAAACTTAAGAAAACAGTATACAGTGTGTCCAGCTGTGGTGAACATTTAGAAATTAACGCTGGAAATCACGTAATAAAATGAATATTGCAAAATGAGGAAAGATTTGGTTACACTGTGGCTTTGAAGAATATATTCACAAGTTACTATTGGCAGCTATGACTAATTAAGTTATACGTACTACTTGAATAAACATGATGCAATACGTTAACCTTTCTTTAGGGTTTTGGTGCTATTATTTGATGTGATTTCCTGAAGGATACCTGAAAATGTTTTCGGGGGTTAACGCCCCCCATAACCTGGGCCCAGACATTGCCCCCAGATGGACCAAGGCCTGATCTACTAGGCTGTTACTGTGGCTGCAAGCAGTGTGGTAGTGCATTAATAGAGCAGATTTATGATGTCTTATATTACACGACACATGTGCGAACTTGGTTCTTCCCAGGCCAGGTTACAGTGTACTTGTTTAGAGATAGTTGCCCCTCAAGCGGGGGTGTCTTAAAGCTGGCGAAGGATTCTTGTCCCAAGGAATTGGAGCTGCCTTTCCGTTCCTCAAATCAAATCTGATTGACTCCCCATTTTCTAGGAGTTACATGGTATTTACGGGGTTAAAGCTTCCCATAAATATAATAATCATAATTATAATAACTAGAGATGGCTATGATACATTTAGTTTAGGCTAAGACATTTTGTTTGGGGTAAGATACATCTTACGAGAGTTATGGTCAGAAACTGTACCACACACTCCCAGTCCAGGGATACAAAATCCATTGTAAAACATTAAGTGAAGTTGACGAGGCCGCCAGGGTCGAAATACGATACAGAAACAATATGGAAGTCTCTATAACTGTGTCGTTCTTAACCTATTTTACGTCCCTTCCCCTATTGCAGATGGTTTTCATTGCTAAGCCCCCTTCTTTCCTTCATATAAAATTCTGAATGTATACTCGGAGAGGGTTTCGGGGGGTCAACGCCTCCGCGGCCCGGTCTGTGACCAGGCCTCTCTATTTAAATATGAAATTTGAGAAGCTAGTTTACATTTTTAATTTTATTATTTTTAACTATTCAGAAGTGTGTTTCAAGGACTTGCGTGAGCGAGTCGTCTTTATTAAAGTTTTGCGTACTGCTTTCTTGTCTTGTCTATCGTGATGGTACTTCGTGCCCTTCCAGGTGAAGGTCAGATTCCGTTGTACAAGCAGTGGTACTTGGGAGCTCAGTACTCACCTCAAGGTGCTAATGGAGGTTCCTCAGAGAAGGCAGGAAAGGGATGGGGGTGCTAGTCTCCCCAGAGATACACAAATAACCGCACATAGGAGAGAGAAGCTTACGACGACGTTTCTGTCTGACTTGGACCATTTACAGTGTAACTTGTAAATGGTCCAAGACGGACCGAAATGTCGTCGTAAGCTTCTCTCTCCCATGTGAGTTTTTTTTTTTGTGGATTGTTCCAGTCACGGTATTGTGCATTTTTTTTCCCCAGAGATGTTTCACGGGGGGAGGGGGAGAGCTAGGTTCTTAGGCTCAGTGGTCGAAGATCAAGCTCCAGCGGGGACAGGGATGAGCCTTGGGGCTTCAGGGCTGACCAGGACAGCGGTTTAGGGTATCCTCCACAGGGGTACGGGGAATAACAAAGGCTCCCCTGGGGGTGGGCACACTCCTGCCGCATAGCTGAGATAATTTCCATGAATTGGCCATCTCTCTCTCTCTCTCTCTCTCTCTCTCTCTCTCTCTCTCTCTCTCTCTCTCTCTCTCTCTCTCTCTCTCTCTCTCTCTCTCTCGCCCTCGCCCTCCCCACACACGCATACACGTGTATGTATACATACACTTGGATGCATGGCAATAGTTTATATAGTTTTATTTTTCTTTAAAATGAAGTACGTGTATCTCCCTTGGCCATAAACAAGCAATCGATAAGTCACACAAAGTGATAGTTATCCTATATTAGGTTCTCAGATTTATTTTATTAGGGATTATCGTAGAAGTGTTAAGCGCCATCTGGTGGTGCGAACGTTGATCCCCTGCTGGGAGATAGTGAGGGCGGTGTGGGGTGACCTTTGACCTGACTCGTTAGGGATTGTGGAGTAGGACATGGGGGAGAAGGAGATCGATGGATATTAGTAATATCGACATGGGTTAACCTCCCTGCTTGAGAGAATTGTTTCTGGCAGCTGCGCCTTGTGTCCGCGTTGATGCGCAGCTGGTGGACAGGGTCCTACTTGACCAAGTGATTATATATTCATGGGAAAGCGGTAAATCCGGAGGGGCCGTACAGCGCCTGGGAATTTAGTATCAAAACAGACCCAACAGCTTAACCTAACCTTGT